TTTCAGCAGTGTAATAGCTTTCCAAGTGGACCTGTTCACAATAAGAGCACACACAAAAATTGTCTTTTAGTTCTGAGCAGGTCACAGTCCAGGTTGACTGATGCTTTTCTCCTACTCTGGTCAAAAGGCTGTATGCCTTCTCTCTAGTTCCACTCTAGTTCAGTCTAGGGATGTTAGAGTGTAGCCAAATAACCATTTAACCAATTAAGCTGATGCTTATCAGTTAATGATATCGGTTACACTCAGCCAGCTCCTGCAGAGGTGGCTTCACTGCTGCAGGGAGCTTTCGCTGTTAGACTTTATACTGCAGAGCCCACATCGTATGTAACCACTGAGATTTGTAGTGGCTACAGTTACCATATTAAACTGTATTATTACCATTCCCTAGTTCAGTCTTGTCCATAGTCAAGCAAGATTCTGTTCACCTTACTCTAATAGCCCCAGTGTTGCCTCATCAACATGAGGTTTTGACTCTACTAGTCCTGTCTGTCTGCCACTCTTGAGAGATGGAAATATCTGCGAATTCCTATGGCAGCCTGCTTTATCACAACCTTCAGGCCTTCCAGCTGACAGTGAGGATGCTTCATGGCTGACCTGTTGGAAGGAGTTTGCTATAAGCAGGTACAGAAAGTTCTGCTCATTAGTAGGAAGCCTTCAACTAAGTGTATATGCCTTGTGAAGCAGGAGAGATCCTGGGTTTATTCAATACAAAAAGGCATACCCTCAGCTCATGTTCTCATTAGACATATCTCAGATTATTTTACATTACTGAAACAAGAATTATTAGCTAAGGTTCTGTCTGAGTGCATCTGGCAGCTACTGGAGTTTTTTACTTTCCCATAGATACACACGTGATTTGAAAAAAACTGATTATCAGATTTCTAAAGGGTTTACTCAGATTACAGGTTCACAGCTTGGCTCAACATTGACGTAATGATGTTAAATATCAGTTAATTGAATAATCGATTAACCTCATGAGTTCTTATCGGTTACTGGACTATTCTGTAGTCCCCAGGAGTGGAGCTGGTAGACAGTGTGCTCTGGTCCCACTCCAGAGGTGACCCCTGCCACCCTGCTCTGCTACCTCTGTATCAGCAGCAGCATGGGGTGGCAGCAGCCTCTGTGCAGATGACGGGGTTGAGCTCCCAGACCTGGCACAAGCTGGAACTGACCCGGCTGCCTGCCCACCTGGCTCCTCATACACTTTAAATGCAGAGCCACAGTGGGGGTAGGTCCCAGACCTGGCACGAGCTGGGACTGAGCTAGGCTGCTGGCCAGCCAGCTAAAAAATGTTCTGGCAGGGGGGAAATGCATGTAGTCGGTAGCATTAACCAATAAGTTTTGCTGATTGGTTAATCTACTATACTATTACATATCTACATTGAAGTTTGCATCTAGTCAAGTTGATGGGTCTTGTCTCTCTCTCTCTCTCTCTCTCTCTCTCTCTCTCTCTCTTTTCTGAGATGCTAGTGATTTGTTTTCTGTTGTACCTGTGTGTGAAGGCAATTGTCTTGATTGCTGTAACGTTGCTCAGGAGAGCTGGAACTGCAAGCTTTAGTATCAGAACTTCTCTATACAATTTTCTATAGGGGACAGGGTTTTCTTTCACTGTCACCCAAAATTTCTGTCTGCTGTGGTGTCTGATTTTCATATTAATCAAGTAATATATTTGCTGACTTTGTTTCAAAAATCTAATTTAATTAGAGGAAAGAAAAAGCTCCATATTCTAGATGTTAGGGAAGCTCTGTCTCTTTACTGGATTGAGCTAGGGGCCTTTCAGGTCTTCATCTCAGATCCCTGTTGTGATACCCACTATCTACCTGGAGGTAGATTTCTGGCTATTTGTATATGCTACTGATTGGCTGATGTTGCCTCTCCAAAGAAAGTTGTGAGTAACTAAATCAGGTCACCGCCACTACTTTTCTGGCTTAGCTACCTGTACTCCTCTGTTGTAAGACAGCAACCTGGTCATAAGTCCGTATGTGTGCCTCTCGCAATGCCATCTCTTATCAATCTGGAGACTCTGCTACATTTGACCCACAGTCCTACGATCCCTGATCAGTCTGACTCCAAGTCCACCTCCAGCTCAAATGGCTTGAGAGTCACCTTCCATGGAATAGACATGTGCAATTACTTGAAGAGGAGACATTTAGAGAAAGTTAAGCACATGGTTTTAGACGTGCAACACCTGTCCATCCCACAACCCACTTTCCTTGTCTTCTGTATTGGAGCCATTCTAGTAGGGAGGAACTGAAGGCAATTGGAGGCAGCATGGCCCTGTGTAGCTGTGTGCAGTGTATGGAGGCACCAGACGTGCTTACTCTGATCCAGTGGGCACTGCTGACAGCAAAATCTGCAACTGTACACAAGGCGCATATGTGAATTTCTGTGGAATGAATGTGTGCAACGTGTCTCCAAGAACCACAGTTATAAAAAGATAGGTAGCAGGTGTTTGGATCATCTTTGATGTGGTTTGTTTAGTTTTTTCTTTTTGGAAGATAGACATGCTTTAGGAAAATTTATAGAGGTACCTGGAAAATAGGTTCTTTGGGATCATTAGGTGCTTTTGGCTGTGATAACTTTTCAGAATATGTTGTTCAGTTGAAATTGTTGTATAGAATAGATGACGTACAGCTCCACTAGCTATAAGAGCCTTAATATCCTGTATGGCATTACTATTTCTGTGTCCATAGAACTTTGCTCTAAATCTCATTTACATAACTTGTGGTGTTAAATTGGACTGATTTATCTGAGAGTGAATAATCTCTCATCCTGTCAAAAAGGCTAGTACTTTCACACCAAGATTTAGTTACATCAGCCACGTATTCTGTCTGTATTATTTTTGGTTTGAGGCTAATTGTGAAACAGAAATATTCAACAGTAAAGGTTTCATCTGTAAGCATTAATACCACTAATTACAAAAAATATGGTTTCCAACCTAACATAACTTACTAAATGTAATAGTAAGGAATTTGTGATAGTGATTAACTGTAATAATGCTTCTGGTGTGCTATTCTGAGACTTAAAACAACTAAAATTCTAAAATATCTAAAACTTTCAGTAATCTCCTATGTGGAAAATTGTCCTAATCTTTCAAAGTATAGACAGGCAAATAACTGGGGTATGTGATTGCGTGAAGTATGTGTGTTAGGGATGTTAAAAAGCATGTTTTTGTAAACTATGTAACTACTGAAATGTTCAGCTGTTACATATTTACATGCAGACAGGGGAGGCAGCTCCACTTGAGCACCAGCTCCCGCCTGCCCCCACCTCCCTTTGCTGCATCTGATACAGAGGCAGCGGAGGGGGGGGAGGCTTGTGGGTAACCATGCAAGTTAACAGACGAGCCCAGGCTCATTCGTTAACTGTTTAAATGGATACACGATCACATCCTCTGTGTGTGTGTGTGTGTGTGTGTGTGTGTGTGCGCGCGTGCACACACAATTATGATAGAACATACCAAAAAGTGAGATTTGTTTTTTAAAATACTCAGTTGTCTTAATTTCTTCTATACAGCTTACTAAATTTGTCCTCCTCAAACACAGCCATCATCAGTAAGTAATATTTAGGTAGAGCAATTAGGATATTTATTAGAGATTCCTTTATTGTGAACAAGATAATTGTTTGAAGTCTGGTAAATGACATACCTGTAATGTGTAAATATTGTGGGTTCATTTTTAAGGCAGGGGGGTATTGCCTTGTTCCAACAAAATGATGAGGTCAGGATTTTCTTTTAAGCCCATCATTATTTAAACCTGCACTCTATTTTTCCTCCTCCTTGTCAAAGTTAACATTATGCACCAAGGTGAATAGCTGTACCATTGTAAGCTTCAGTTCAAATGATTTGTCGTCCTTTTCCCAGCTTTAATGTAAACTTTAGCTGCATGCTTAAGTTTCTCTTTGTCTGTGGGAAAAGAGATTTAAATCTGTACAGCTATTTAACCTTTTATCTGCACAGACGTATTCATATCGTGCTGCTGGGTTGGTTTTTCATATTTCTAGATAATAACCATGCATTGATCTGCTGCTAATCTGATGTAACCTCTTTTTGTGTGTATTGATTATAATGCTTTACTCGTGGGAGTCGAATCAAAAACTGGCTTGGCTGAACAGTTCATCATTTAAGGGTGAACTTAAATTGTTGTCTTTTAGTTGAATGTTAAATGGGCACCTACTCAGATGTTAGATTATTTAAACAGCAGGCTGAAATGGAGCATCACTCAGAATGGATTTTTGTTTCAGTTTTACTAGGGAAGGCCTTACATAAAACTGTCATTTAGGTCTGGGTGGTTGAACATCTATTTTTCTGATGTGTATTAATGTAACCATCCAAAAGTTGAGATTTATGTTTGTGAGCCTTATCTGTGTGCTTGGTGCTGTGCAAATCTATTGGAAGTCATGGTCCCTTATCATTCTGCCTACAAAACAGTAAGTATTTTGTCATGTAGAATAGTGATAGAAATGTAGCTGTGTTAGTCTGGTGTAGCTGAAACAAAATACAGGACTATGTAGCACTTTAAAGACTAACAAGATGGTTTATTAGATGATGAGCTTTCGTGGGCCAGACCCACTTCCTCAGATCAAAGTGGGTCTGGCCCACGAAAGCTCATCATCTAATAAACCATCTTGTTAGTCTTTAAAGTGCTACATAGTCCTGTATTTTATTTTGTCATGGTGTTTTTGTCCCCATTTCAATAATGACTTTGTTTCAGTATTTTAAAATGCTAATAACATTGTTAAGAGGACAGTGCTGCCAACAATTGATTTGAAAACTGACACCAGGTACAGTTTTATTGTCCGACAAAATTTTGTGGATAGAAATTATTTCATTTGTGTTGTGGCAGCATCAAGGATCCCCCACAGTCCTGGACTAGGACCACTTTGTGCTAGGTGCCTGCAAACAAAACAAAACAAGGTGGTCCCTTCCCTAAAGGGTTTACAATGCAAGTAAGCAGTTGTTCTGAGAATCTTTCATTTTGAAATGCACTTT